CAGCAGCTGGTCCCTGAGGCCTCCCGGAGCTCAAGGGCTGAGCTTTCTCTGGGGGAAATAATGGGATTTTCCTTAGAGCATCTAGGGTGGAACCCAAAAATTGGCAGTTGGTTGCTGACTACTGAGCCCTCAGGCCTCAGGCCTCATCTGACTCAGGTCTAGTGATCTAACTCTCTGCCCCACCCCCAAACAGCCCAGTTTGGGGCCCAGAGAGTTGTTCTCCATGTGTGAAGAGAATAGGAAATACTTCTAGTGAGAACACTTACTAGGCCCTTAGGTCTCTTCAGTGTAGAATCAGGGGAGAGTAAGGTCATAGAGCCAAACTAAGTCGAAGCCCAGTTAGGCGTTTAGCAGCTGCATGAGTCACTGAATCTTTGTTATTCTATGAGCATAACAGCTCTGTCTCACATAGTTGTGATGAGGATTATATAGTTAAAACACATGAAGGGCTTAGAACAGTGCCTGGCATGCGGTGTCACCTGTTATTACGTCTCCCAACCCCTCTGAGAGATTGGGATTCTCCCAACTTCACATCTGGGGAAACTGAGGCCTAGAGAGGTTAGGAGTGGAAGGCAGGACGCGGCTCCCACGCCTAGTGCTCTTTTCCTTCTCTTTGTTGCCTCCCATCATCAGACAGAGGCCGAGGGCGGGGCTCACTTGCGGAGGAGATGACTGAATTTACAGGCACGGCAAACAGGCTGTCAAGGTATTTACACTGCATACAATTAGCTGCAGTGTATTCACACGTGGATTAGCTACAGCAAATGTTCAATCCCAGCTTGGCTCCAACTCGGTCCTCCGTCCCCCTCCCCGTCTCTCCCCATCATCAGCAGTCTTCTTTCTCCTTCAGGCCAGTGTAGGTGTTCTGAGATGACAAACTCAAGAATATGTCAGCTGACTCCGTGGGATTCCCTGCCCGCCCCCCCCCCATGATGCACCCCACAGCCAAAGAAGAGCAATTAACTGCTGTTTGGGGTTGGGCCAGCTAATTGGGAAATAGGAAGGCAGTTTCCCATGACATGGATAAGGGCTCATTCAACGCAGAATGGGCAAAGCCAAGGAGACCAGCACTCAGTGCGATCATTCACGGAAAGCTTCCTGGAAGAGGTGAGAATTTCTAGGAATTTTCAAATAATGTGAAGAAGGTGATAATAAAAGAAGCTACTCATCATTGCACCCATAGCAACCCTGTATCTCCGTGGGGCAGAAAATGGGTTTTTCTCTTTGGAAGGATGGTTGGGGGGTGAGGAGCAGAAAGGATGGCTGCACTGAGGGTATCCTAGGTCTGTGGTGTCTGGAGTATGATGGGCATTATTCATTCATTCATTTAACAAGTCTTCAGCTGGTATCTGATGGGTCTGGATCCCCTATTCAGCTTTGGACCAACAGGAAAGGAAGGAGAGAGAAGGGGGTGGGGGTGAAGGAGGTGCAATTAAGAGGAGGTGGGCTGAAGAACAGGATTCTTCAGATGTTCTCGGACTTCCGGAGGTGGACAGAAAGGGAGCTGAGGTTTCAGCTGATAGCCCCCCCCCGCCCCCCACGTCCCAATGCGGCCTTGAATTTCTCCCCACACCTCCCACTCCTGCCCCCGCAGCGGGAGTCAGCCCCTGGACAGGCAGGAGGGGGGGCAGCAGGAAATGGGCCTGAGGGAGGAGTGATTATTATTACTATTTTAAAAAATTTGTGTCTTAATTTACATACGAAAATATTAACTCCTTTTTGTGTGTGTACATTTCTTTGAGTTTTGACAAATGCAGAGTCGGGGAACCAGCATCACAATCCAGAAACGGAATAGTTCCGGGGACTGGTGGTCGGGTTGGTAACCTCCGCGCTTGCTAGCTGCTGCGGTTGTCCGCGCTCCCACCGCCGCCCTGATACAATCCTGCGCACACACCGAGAGAAATAACGGCGACAGGTGGAGTAGGTGAGATTAGCAGGACTCGGGCGCGGGGACCGGATCGGAGGCGAGCGGGAGGCCTCCCGCTTCACTTCCCAGTAGACACCCCTCCCCGCCGGCGCTTGGGAGGGGCGCTCTCCCCACCCCGGCTCCGGGAGGGCCGGGGGAGGTAG